TACCTAAAAAAATTACCCATGACATTTCTTCCTGGTGGTACTGTGGCTGAGGTTAATTTAGAGTTGACTCTAGCCTACATTCTTACAAACTGCAAGAGCCTCTCCATCTTATAGATTAGGCTCCAGTTTCTCTGATCCACAAAAGGCTATCCTAAACTGAAAAGCGAACATATTATCCCACCAGCAAGGACCTAACCAGATTTTGTTTCTCGGTTACATTTGCACCCAGCATAAGCAATCATGTGCCAAAGAACATGCTATTGTCTGAAGTGTCCTAACTCTCCGGGGTATTGAGAACTTAAGCCAGAATTGCTCTGGAGGTATAAAAATGCTAAGGTTTTTATACAACATACTCATATTCCTGTTTTCAAATAAAAACGTTCATGAGAGTGTAAAAAATATTGAAACACCAAGAGAGGTGACCTTTTGTAAGTGCATTCATGTTCTCCTGGGAAATAAAGAATAAAGTCATTCACCACCAAGTGTAATATTCCTCACTTCCACTTGCCTGATGAAAGGAGTCAACACAGGTAGTTTCAAATTAAAACACAGTTGGAGTAGCTAGCTGGCTGAAAATGGATCTCTCCAAAGAGGGGAAAGGAGCTGACGGGATGCTGTTTATTAAAACTTGCATATGATTACAACTTCGCCCATCACCTCCCTCCCCCGTCACTCTGATGGCCAAGACAAGTGCTGCACACATTTAACGCAATGCTCGAAGATGGCAGGAAATAGGACTGTTTTGCAAAATGAGCACACTTCCCACACACCCCATGTACTGGGAAGCTCGAGACTCCAGTAAGTAGAAAGGGCAAAGGTTATTCCTAACGATTTCTGTGTAAGTGCTCGTGAGTCCCGTGGTGGCTCATTAGAGTCGCCATGGGGCCCGATTCTGTAATGGAAGCAGGGGCCAGAAGGACCCGTTAAAGACGGGAGGGAGGTCATGTTACTCGCCAGGGACAAAGCTGGTCGGTGGCAGGCCCAGATTAGAACCTCGAGTGTCCATCCTCCACTCCCAGGAAACTCTCACGTCTCTTAAAATAACAGAACAGAAGGATCTGGGACACACTGTCAGCTGCACCCCAGAATCCATTTCTATAAAATAAAAACGAATAAAGTCATCAAGGTGGTTGTGCTGGTCATTCTTCCCCACCTATTAGATCAGTCAGACTGGCAGACAAAACGGATTTCAATTTTCTTCAGATGTCAATTTGGGGCTTTTGGGTTATCTTTCTTTTCAAACCCTTTAAAGCCATAGTGTTAAAATTGTCTGCTGTGGCGTTTTTTAAAGTCTAAAAGTACTGCAAGTTTGGAGGAGTCTCCCATCCAGCAACACCTTTTACGGACATGCTCTATAGAACCTTTATGAGGAAAAATGGCTTTCCAGTCCTGATCAACAGAATGCCCCCAGACTCGGTGGCATTCCACATAGGACACCAAGACTCGCTCATCCCCGGGGTGGGGGAGAAGAGAGTGAAGAAAATGCAAAGTTAGTAGCACCATTTGTGTGAGCAGTCTGCAGGTCACAGTTAAGGCTCTCAGAGCTTCACCAACAAAAGGTTTGGTGCCTTGAAAAGTCTTTCGCGGTTGTATGTGAGCATGTTTTCATGGGGAAAGCACTAGAAATTATACAGATATTTCTCTCCTTGGGGGGAGACTAACTTTTACTTCTAGTTAACTGATGTCATAGTTTCTAGTTTTAGAAAATTCAGAATGATTCCACATCCATTTGATCTAACCTCTTTTCTTCTTCAGATAATGCATGTGCACGGAGGTATTCGTCTTGTTTTGAACAAAAGGCAAGATTTTCCCCCTTCTGCCCAGAAACTACCATTGGGAAATTAATATTCAAGATGAACAAGGAATTCATCACATGGCCTGTGAACTTGCTGATTGCCAGAAGGAGGCCTGTGAGTTCTTAGGATTATTTTAGATTTGGTAGCATGAATTGGGAGCTTAAACAGTCATAAAAGACACGGTCTTCAATATTTGAAGTTTCAGAATTCTCTAGCTATACGTCCACAGGATCTCTTTTAAGTTTTCTATGTGCCTGTTCTAATCTCTTGAGTTTAAGTGTAGTTTATCCTGAAGCTATACGAAAAAGCCATGGCTAAATGTCAAGCCTACTACTATAAATTACATTTCAAACTGGTAATTACTTATTAGTGGAGAGAAGGCTGTTTGAAATGGTGCTGTCTCATTAGAAAGCTATTATGGATGCCTGTAATTCGGCCTTAATAAACACAGTTAAACTTCAAGTATCTACTGTGTGACAGGTATGCTAGACCAAAACAACAGCTATTAAAACTTCCAAGGATCTATCTCTCTCTCTCTCTCTCTCTCTCTCCTTTCCTAAAGTTAAAAAAAAAAAAAGTGATTCCCCTCCCCCTCTATATTTTTAGGAATATTTGTTGGGGTGGGGAGAGGTGGATTTCTAAAAAGAGCCTCAAGTGAAGTTATTTTAAGTTCCTTGTTTTAAGTAACTCCCTAACTTATCTTGTCCTTTGAACTCAATAACAAAAAAACTCTTTCTATTGAAAAATGAAGTATGATAATACCAGTTGTTATTACACCAAATGACTGGACAAACAGAAAGAAAAAATATGAAAAGACTCATGTGCTTCTCAGCCGCCTCATTTCCTATTTCATTTTATGTGACAAAGCCTCTGTTTATGTCCAGAATCACTAACTTGACACAAGTGGATTTCCTTTACATTTCTTAAGAGGAAAAGAACTTCCTGTAAATGATCTCTGACTGTTTCAATATACCATCTATTCCTATCAAGGCTCATATTTGCAAAGGGAATTGGTAAGATACCCACCCAAACACATGAAAGATGCGTATGAGCGATTCCATCTACTCTCCCTACACTCATTACAGGTGTCTGTCTTAATATTTACTATTTCCTCCCATCAGCACCAACACCATTCATTGCCCGTTTTAGCTAACATTTAAAAGGATGGGTAAAGAATACCCCTCCCTCCTTGGGCAAGCCATATTACATCCAACCTTCTAGTTGAGAATCTAGCAAGGCACTTGTCACTTGGAGACACTCTGGAAAATGCTGAATGAAGGACACAGCTCTTCTTCCCCTACCTTTTGGGTTTTTTGGGGGGTGTTTTTGTTTTTGTCAGCAGGTACCTAACATTAAATCCACGTAGAAAACTACCATCCTGAAATGGCTTATCCTTCAATATCACCATCCGACCTGCTTACCATGCGCAGGTCAAGAAACGAAATAAGAAAAGAGAATCAAATAAAATTAAGGGTTTCTTCCCCAAGCCTTCAGAAACACCTCACAGATCTGGCAAGCGCAGAGAAGAAGTACTTTAGCAGATAACGAAAATGTGATCATTAATGAAGCTATGCCAAAGACAGATTAAAACAGGCTCTGTAGGAATATGCCTGAAATCATTAAAGAATCTCACAAGTTTTTGGAAGAAATTATGGCCACCTACCCTCCCATAGCTTCACACCTGGTGTCAGCACTGGTTCCTGAAGAGGGATTTAAAAAAAAAAAAAAAGAGGGTGCAGAATGAAGACATTCAAACCCAAGCATCTGAGACCTGGGATTATCAAAACACTCAGTGCAGACATGCACTTATGTACATATGTGTTTTGATGTTAGATTTCGATTTAGGTGCGTTTCAAAATTTACAATTACAAGTCTGAAGACTGTAGCCATCACAGCAGTGATTGACTTGAATTCCTAACATATAAACTGTACTTGTCACTTTGCAAATTTGGCTTTTCATGAAAGAGAGAATCAAGGGCGCCTTATTGCCAAAGCAGCACAACATCCTTCTGTCGCCAGATTTTGCGATAAAAAGATGGTTATTTTATTTAGGTTTTATATTTATAGAAATGTGGTCACAAGGCATGTCTAAAGCAAAATACTGGTCCCAGGGATATATATATATAAACTTGCTGTTTTATGGGGAGAGATAGTAAAGCTACCCTGTGAGCACCAACCACAAGCTTGAAGCAATCTTGCCAGCGAAGGCAAGGATGACTTGGAATAGTATGTGGTTCCAAATATAATCTCAGCTCTTCCCTCACACTGTATTTGGGAGAAAATTAATTCTGTCAAAATGAAAAAAAAAAAAAAAAAAAGAACCAAACTGATGGCTGACCACTGCACACAAGTGGTCAACAATAAGCAAGAAGAAAACAAGGAAAGAGTTCCAGGATTTTCCTCCTCCGGCATTTCCTCCACTATTTTATCCCTTGGGCTCCGAAGTCACAACCAAAGCCATTCCGTTGTGTTGCCAAAAGGAACCGGGTCCTTCCGAGACGCTCTTAACAGCACTGCGTTTTACGATGATGAAACCCTTTCTGAAGCCTCCGTGTCCATTCACCGTTTTGTTCGTCCTTCCTCTCTGCCACGCAAATACAGCCTCCATTCTTTCCATACAACCGAATTCGAGGCAACATACGTTAAATCCACACAGAATCATGTGAGCGTTCCATCCGCAGACACACCATTACCCCCGCGGAATGCATCCAACGAGCTCCCAAGGAGTTCCCTGCGCGCGAGGCGGCCGGCTCGGGGAGGCTGCGGGGCTCCTCCCGGGCGCACCCGGCCGGGGCTGCGCGTGGGACCTGTCCGCCCGGGAGCCAGGGGCCGCCGGGACGCCCACCAGGACGGCGGGCCCCGGGGCAGGCGGCGGCCAGCGCGGTCCCGCGGGCAGCCCCTCGGCCACAAAGCTCCAGGCAGCCGCCGCGCAGCAGCCTTGCGGTCATTTCTCTCCCGCAGCCCAGCGCCAGGCACGGCCCCCTCCCTCATTCTACCTACCGAATAGCGCCCAAACCCCATATTGAGAGGGCCTGCTGCGGATCCTGCGGAGGTACAAAATGGTGGATAGGCGCTAATTTCCCCGGCTTTCCCCCTAACTTATCGCATCCATCACCGGCCGTGCTCCCACCGAAGCGCCCCGGCGGCGGCGCGCCGAGCAGGGCCCGCGGACCCGGCCCGGGGGGCAGAGACGCGGCTACCCACCTGATGTCATGTAGCCCCGCGCAGCCTGGGGCGCGAAGGCCGCGGGGAAGCGCTTGTGCAGGCGGTAGTCCTTCTCGCTGCGGGACCTCATTCGGTCCGAGGCCCGGTCGGAGAAATCCGAGCTAGGCCAGGCGCGCCGCAAGGTTGTGCTCCGGGTCTTCTTCATGGTGGGGGAGCGCGACCTGCCGCCCCGATCCTGGGGGCCTCAGCGCCTGGGCGCAGCGCGCAGCTTCATCCGTCTACGGCGGGCACGACCCGGGCGGACTCTGCGCACATTTTCCCAGCCCCTCCTCGTCGGCGTCTACACCGCCAGCAGCAGGTCCAGCCCTCCCCACGCCCCCACACACCCCCACGGCGAAGGCTCCGATTTTACACACGTCCCACAATGCATTACACTTCATTTGCAATCCGCCCGGCTTATAGCTTCCAGATTCCTGGGGGGAAAGGCACGTTAGGAGGCTCCCCGGCCAGGAGGAGGCGGGGAGGGGGCGGGCGGGGTGGGGGCGCCGAGACTTGCAGCGTGAAAGCAATGGGAGCGCAGACAATGGCCCGATTCAGCGCAGGAGTGCTTAGCCAACTGTGAGCCACGGCACAAAAGACCCAAACAAATAAGGAAGCCGAGGCCTCCGGGGCTGACCCGGGATCGGGCGCCCGGGAAGCCGGAGGGGCGGCGGCAGACCCTCTCCGCACCCAGCGGGCTCAGAGCGAGGCGTGGGGATGACAGCGTCCGAGTCGTGTCCCCCAGGGCCTTCCGGCCGCGCGGCCCGCAGTCCCGGGCGCCGGCTGGCTCTGCCTCCCCTGCAGTCCTCGGGAGGCAGTCTTCATTACAGAGGCTCGAAGGGGGGGCGCGTGTGCACAGGGATCCGAGTGGGCTCTGCAGACAGCAGCTGCGGCGGGCGGGCTCCTGCGGAATCCAGGAAGAGCCCGAGTCCTCCTCGCAACTGCAGCGCCTCGTCAATCTTCCTCCTTCCGAGGCTCAGGGCGGTGCGTGCGTGTGTGTGTCTGTGTGTGTGTGCGCGCGCGCGCGCGGCGACACGCATGTGCCCCCCTACACATGCATGCTCCTACCTACTGGCCGAGGGGGCGTCGGGAGCCATGGCTGCCGGCGATGCCGAGCCTGCCGATCCACACCCGCGCGGTGGCACCAACGCCCGGTCGCCAACACGCAGAATGGCTACTGACGGGCAGGAAGCGGGGCAGCCGCCCAGTCTCATGCTAATCACCGAGCTGCCTTAAGTTAGAGCACGGATCCTGGCAGGCTTCTCATTTTCATGCAAAACACCCTGCGGCGGCGCGCGGACCTCGGCTGGTGCCCCAGCCCCGAGTCCGCGCTCGGGTATTTACATCTTTTTAGGATAGTCCCTCCCCCTCGCAGAAAGAGGCTGAACCCCCTCGGTGGGAACAGGGAGATCTGCGGTGCCCTGTGTTGCCCACCTGCGCCAACCCCGAAGTCAGCTAGAGCCGGAGAAGGGGGCGCCCCCGGGAGCTCCTGCGACGGCCGCAAACGCCGGGGCACCTGGTCCACGCCGCCTGGGAAACGCAGTGGTGGTGGTCTCCGGCTCTTCCTCTCTCTCCCTCGGTCTCTCGTGTAAGTCACCAGCAGCCCGCTAACCTGCATTCAGGTCCTTTACCCAGCACGGCTCTGCACAGCTGCTTCTGGTCCAGCAACCAATCGCCAAAGGACAACAATGCGCGCGACGCGGGAGGGGCGGAGAGGGATGCGCCGCCCCGGCCGAGGCGCGGGGCCCGGGACGCCGCCGAGGTCACGCCGAGTTAAAGGCGCGCGGTCACGATGCTGCGAACCACGACGATGCTGTGCCGCTGCCGTTTTTTGTTTGTTTTTTTCCTTCAAAAATGCTCATACCCCCATTTAGGTTTCCAAAAATGCTCGGGTGTTCTAAACAACAAAAATAAACCTGATTTTCCTTTTTCATTATTATATTTTATTGTACATCTTTGCGCCCTTTTTTAAAAATTACTGACGGTGCAACGTTCAAAATCATTTTTATGCTGTTGTTTCATAGCCACACGTGCCAGATGCAGAGACAAGGATACGAAATTTTATGGGGCTACTATCTTAGAAAAAGAAGAAAACAACAGAAAAACAGCAGACTCTAAATGCTTAAGATTCAAGAGTTCTAGCTGATTTGGTGCTATTCTGAGGCTTGAATTCTTTGCTGGGGGTGGGGGCAGGCAGCAAGGTTCTTGAAGAACTATGCAGCGGGGGAGGGCTAGGTTTAAGCCACAAGCGTTAGATAATCTAGAACCAGAGCTTCTATTCAGTAATTTAAGGCTGCCCTCTAAGGTGCCAGAGCTCCTCTATGGAGCCAGGTAACTATCTCTTGTGATACTGGGGAGTTCACAAGCAAACAAAGAAAATCCCCAAATATCATATGGAACTTACATTTACACTCATCAAAATTTACTACTAACTGTGAAACAATTGGCTACAGTTCAGTGACATTTTTTAAAAGTTAGGAAAGGATACTCCCTCAGAAGGCACATTTTGCTAAAATGTCTTCTTTACTGTAAGAGATCTTCTAAGAACAGGAAGACCACAGCGTTAGAAGCTACAGAAGACTAAATGTGTAAAGAACCATAAAGGTAATATAAAATAATTGTATTAATGAATGCATGTGAAATTGACATTTAGATCCCTCAATCCAATTCAACATACAATTACTCAGTACCTCCCATGAGCCCAGAGTGGTGATATGAATGATTATAATAGTTATGACTGAAGGCTAATGGTGAATGCTGTGGCAAACATGGCATTTACTCATTCGGCAAATAATTATTGACTATCTAGAATATGCCAGCCCTGTGACAGGAGCCGAATAGCACACGTGGCCCCACACGGTTTCTGGTCCAGGTGGTAAGCAAATAAATGCACCAAGTGTGCTAAGTTCTAGAAAGAATAACCTCTATGGGGAAAATAAATGATAGTTAATCTGAGACCTAGGGAATGAGGAGTCAGCCAAGCAAAGAGTAGGGAACATGATATTACAGAAAGTGGGAACACTACATGCAAAGGACCTGTGGTAGGAAAGAAGTGTGGCTTCTGTTGGAAGCAGGGAAAGAGGGCCAGCGTGACTGGCACTGGAGCATCAGGGAAAGGCGTGTGATGAGGTCATGGAGGAAGGCAAGGGCCAGATCATGCAAGGACTTGCAGGCTGTTTTAAAGATTCTGTATTCTATTCCAAGTGCAGTGTGAACTGCTGAAGGGTTTAAAGCAAAGAAGCAATGATAGTTTTAGAATTTCTATATGGAAGGAGCTCAGAGCAGGGATTCTGTTTGAAGGGAGGGGTCGGCCAGGAATCTTCTGGAGAGTAAGTCTGAACTGCCCTTGACTTAAAACTGAGAAAATAATCATTGTTCATGTGAAAAACAAATGGGGTGTGGTGATAGAGATCTGGGGAGGAGAGCTACCCTCAGTCACCCCTGAATGTGGGTCTTAGAGGGGAGCAGCACTGTCCTGTGTACCTACTCACAGAGCACCCTTAGTTGCAAGGCCAAAGAGCCAGACACAGAAGCATCAGAGAGCAAACAGGCGGGGTTAGCTGGCTGGAATCAGTAAATGAAGTAGGGAGACTTAGGGACAGTTAAGTATTTATCCATCCAAATCAGGGGGCAACATCAAAGAAGGTTATGAAGGTAAGGCTTGACTCCAGTAAACACTAAGAAAGCAATCCTCTCAGAAGACAGTGGATGTGGAAACCCGTTACTGTAGCCACTGCTGAAATGAGACTCAGTAGGTCCCGTGGAAACCTTCACTCTGCTCATCTGCAGCCTGTAGGGCTTGGGTCCTGGTCCCAAGTCTCTCAACCTAAATGAGACCATCATGTGTCTGGGTCATCAACTGTCTCTCAAGGAAGTTCGGCTGCAGAATCTAGTCTTCAGTTCTAGGAAAGTTTAGAATTCAATAGAAAAATGATAAAGCAAATCAAGTTTACGGGGTTTGTAATTTTTAAAATCAGGCTTCACTGTAATTTGTACATTTGGTATTTACATATGAAATTACAGACACTAATAATTAGATACACAGTTGCTTTGTGACTCTAATTCAAATGTATAATTGATTTTAGACTTCTGATTTTAAGTTAAAAAGGGCTGGGGCGCCTGGGTGGCTCAGTCGGTTAAGCGTCCGACTTCGGCTCAGGTCATGATCTCATGGTTCGTGGGTTTGGGCCCCGCGTTGGGCTCTGTGCTGACAGCTAGGTCAGAGCCTGGAGCCTGCTTCGGATTCTGTGTCTCCCTCTCTCTCTCTGACCCTCTCCTGCTCACACTGTCTCTCTCTCTCAGAAATAAATAAAAAACATTTTAAAAAATTTTTTTAAAAAGAAAAGGTAAGAAATTTGACTGAAATTCTCATTTAAAACTCTGGTTTATTAGGTTTCGAAGGGTTTAATGAACTTACGAGTTGTAAGAATATAAACTCCATGAAGGCAAGGAATTTTTCTGTTTCACCCGTTGCTGTTCATTTTTGTTGTTTTTAATTTTTTATGTCTTTATTTTATTTTGAGAGCGAGAGACAGAGAGTGAGAAGGGGAGGGGAAGCCAAAGTTGGATGCTTAACTGACTGAGCCACCCAGGTGCCGCTGTTCATTGTTGTTTTATTCATAGTTGTATCTCCAGTGGCTAGTACTGCCTGACAGTATTTGATGACTAACAAAGCCTGTGTGTATACTCTGGAAGATTTGGTTTGAAGCCTTCCCAGTCAGATGTAGTAAGTGCTTTTTTAAAAATTAAATATACCAAATTTATAAATGCAGTTTAAATTTTTAAGGGAATATACTTAACTGTGTTTCTGAATGGAAACTAATTGTTATTTTTTTTTTTAATGTTTTATTTATTTCTGAAAGAGAGAGAGAGCTTGAGCAGGGAGGGTCAGAGAGCGAGGGAGACACAGAATCCGAAATAGGCTGCAAGCTCTGAGCTGGCTGTCAGCACAGAGCCCAACGCGGGGCTCGATCCCACGAACCGCGAGATCATGACTTGAGCCAAAGTCAGACACTTAACCGACTGAGCCACCCAGGCGCCCCTGAATGGAAACTAATTGTTGAGTAAAGGGACTTTAGTCTTCAATGTGAATTAATCAAATATTTTTCAACGTTTCCCCAGGAGTTATAGTTTTTATTTTATTTTATCATCTTAAATTTACAAATA